ACTTCTTCAGATGCAAGTAATGGAAATTTCCATCTGAAGAAGTGAGGTTCTTACCCACGAAAGCTTATGCTCCCAATACTTCTGTTAGTCTCAAAGGTGCCACAGGACCCTCTGTTGCTTTTTACAGATTCAGACTAACACAGCTACCCCTCTGATACTTGTACTGAGGAACAACTCCCAAGCGCTTTGGGGGACAAAAGGCAAGGGTATTGTTTATAATGTGTTCTACATTGTTTTGTTTGGTTTGTTTTGCACTGTCTCCTACAGGTCTTTGGTGGGTTCCTTGTAAACCTGAACTCCATGCTGAGTTGGCTGTCCTGGATCAAATGGATCAGCATCTTCCATTATGGAATGAATGTGAGTCACAGCCCTCACGGGGAAGATTTGGCAATGTGCAAAACAGCAGGTTCAAAAGTAAAGTGAACTTCATCCCCCAATTGTACAAAATCCCTCAAGCCTGTTTGCCGTCTCACTTCTCGTGTCTCAGATTGTTCACAAGCTCTTAGCCAAAGACACAACAGAATCACCTGATACTACCATGTTCTAATCAAAAATATCATCCAGTCTATGTTGGTAGACTGTCTTCTTCACATGTCTTCTGAAGAAGTCCTAGAAGCCCACCTCTGTCTGACCAAGAAAGTGCCGACTGTCTGTGTTTGTATGACTGACAACATCTGTAAATCTGCATTTCTGTCTCTCACTCTGTAAAGTTGGTACCGTGCTTTGTCACAGACAATGGTACTCATCAGAAGTAAAGGAAACAATAAGCACACATGCACATTCACAAGCTATGCCAGAACATGAGCTTTACTGTGTTCTTATAATAAAACACAGTTTATAAGAAGTCTGCCCTAAATATAATTCTTATAGAAACTATGGCAATATCTACTGGCAGCATCCAATATTGATGCTGTAAAACAAATCACTATGTTCTTTTCAATGAAGATTGATTAAATTCCTGCTTCTGGGGCTAAGAATAAACATTGCCATATATGTTTACAATGAGATTCACTTTCACTGAATGTTTTGTCCTTTTTTCCCATTCAGACTTAGGAATCTCTTCCCCGTGTTCTGCTATGTTTTCTGCTGTTTTGGGCTTTGTTTTTATGAGACTCTCATCCCCTCCGTCTTCCCTCTCCTGTCCTAACTCCACTCCAAACATCCTGGCACCATGGAGTCTCTCCAATGCTAGCCAAAGACAAAAGGATCCCAGATGCTTTTCTCCCTTGAAATGCCTGATGAAAGAGAGGGAGCTATGTTTTAAAAGCTACAGGGCAGATTCATTTGATAATTTGCCAATAATTAATTATCTTTGATTCTCATAGTCCAAGGGTTCACAACCAGGGGTCATGAATAGGTGTCAGGCATCATGGCCACACTGCACTTCCTAAATTGCTGAATAGAGAGTGGTCACGATATGGAACAGGCAGGGCCGGCGCTTCCATTTAGGCGACCTAGGCGGTCGCCTAGGACACCAGGATTTGGGGGGGGGCGGCATTTTGGCGCCCTCGGCAGCAATTCTGCGGCGGGTCCTTCACTCGCTCCGGTATCCGTCACCGAAGTGCCCCGAAGACCGGGAGCGCGGAAGGACCCCCCCCACCGCAGAATTGACGACGACGACCGGGAGCGCTGAAGGACCCCCGCCTAGGGCACCAAAAACCTGGCGCCGCTCCTGGGAATAGGTCAAGAACCATTGCCAAAATTGTGTCAGGGCATCATGGTCATGCTACATTTCCCAAATCTCTGAATACAGGGTGGTCCCAGTATGGAAAAGGTCAAGAAGGAACCACTGTCAAAATGGAACATTCCATGTTTCTGGGGAGGCACTGCTGTATAATTTCTTCATCTGCCATTTTCTAACAGATTAGATATTTTAAACATATGTTTCTTATTTTAGGCCCTGACCATCAATGAGCTCCAAGGAGCAGTTTTCTATTTGAACTCTTCCATGTAAGTACTCACTCTGTTCACCAACCACCAAAAACAACCCAAAAGAGCTGAGGGAAGGTAGAGGCTGTCATATCTGACACACTTCACCACAGGGGTACATACAAGCACTCAATTTATAGAGTATTTTTGGAACACAGGAGTCTGACATACCACACGGCATGAAGCATAAATAGGAGGTCATGATGTGATACCTGTTGAAAGAGAAGCTGCAGTGTCAATACACATACAGAGAGCCAATGTTTAACTAACTTATTAACAGGAAGAACAGTACACAGGAATATCAAGTAATAAATATTACACATTAGCGGGAGCTGTGTTAGTCATTTCAATATATAACAATATTCTTCTTCCAAAATCTCTAACTTCACCATTTTTAAAATGTTCTTTTAACACAATGTGTCATGCATAAATGGTACATAATGCTTTAGCAACATTTCTTCACATACCAGTACATATAACCTTAAATGCTGTACTAAATATAAACAGCACCAGGGGTGAGATTTTCAGAAGTGCTCAAGAAACTTGAGTACTTCTCTGAATCTCACCCAATATGTATAATCTAAAATTATTTAAAATGCATAGGTAGATGTCTCTAACTAGTAGTGTTTGTTTGATTCCTTGTGTGCAATATTTTTCCCCTTCTGAAGTGTGATAGTCAGTGCAGTGTTTCCAGTTATCTCTTTCTTCCCTCACCCAAGGGAAGGTGAATCTGTAAACGTCACTAGATTTCTCTATTGTAAATCAGCAGGCATGGTAATCAAAGAGTCACTATAATTATTAGGTTAGAATTTGGTTCTGGCTGTTCCTCATGCAGATAACCTGCACCACCATACCAAAATTTGTCAGGACAGATGCAAGACAAAGGCACTTTCAGGAAACAAAGAACATGGATATCATGGAGGTCACCTATTGGGAATTACAAGGCATTTTCAGACCAGAGAAATACATGGGGGCATTTCACATGGCAATTTTAGGCAACACAGGAGCCATATAGCAAGCGAACAACAAGATCATATTAAGCATTTATGTAACTTAGGGATTGACAGGGCACATATGGGACACAACAGAGGTTCATGCAGAGTGGGCCCACAGGAAGTTCATAGCGGGATGTTACAGGAGGGATGTTACATATACATAGCGGGATGTTGCATATGTATTACAGTTAAAGTACTTACAAACACTTAATGGCTCACCTGGGGACTCACATAGTCACATCATCAGTACTTAGAAGGGCTCATTATAGGGACTCACTGGGCAGGACACATAAAACACCCTTACAGGAGTTTTATAACTTGATAAAACAGCAACAGCTACTGTAGAATTACAGAATACACAGAGGCATACAATAGGCCCAATAAAAACCAGTACAGTGTCCCATTAACAAGGGCAGCTCATTTATTTAGAACAGGGATCGGCAACCGTTAGCACCCTGGCGGGCTGGGCCGGTTTGTTTACCGGCCGCGTCCGCAGGTTTGGCCGATCGCGGCTCCCACTGGCCGCGGTTCGCCACTCCAGGCCAATGAGGGCGGCAGAAAGTGGCGGCCAGCACATCCCTTGGCCCGCACCACTTCCTGCAGCCCCCATTGGCCTGGAGCAGCGAACTGCAGCCAGTGGGAGCCGCGATTGTTTACCTGCTGCGTCCACAGGTTCGGCCAAACGGGCCCGGCCCACCGGAGTGCTTACCCTGGCGTCTTCTAGGCATTTGAACATGGACTACATCTCTTCATTCGGGAAGCATCCAGGTGGGTGGGTCAAGGCTGGTAGCTGTCCACAAGAGCAAATGCATCACTTCCATAACATGCCTTATCTACTGCAGCCCACCAAGCAGAAGGCTTCCCCACAGTTGCTTCCAAGCAACTGTAAAATAAAGAGAAGATAGCACTCTCTGAATGAAGCACTGCAGTACTTCACTACAGGGGTTATCATAGAGCTAGATGTTGCAGAAAATTTATGCACTCCATCTTTCACTAATTAGTAGCTATTATGACTAATTACACAAATTAAAAGAGTTAGTGAGTTTGGTATTCTCCAGATAGCCTCCAGGGAGCAGTCTTTGTCCAGGAGAGGTTCAGGGCAGGATCACAGTGCATTGACAGAGCCATATGCGGCTCAGAGACTGGAATAACTTGAAGTGGAATAACACCCTTGCAGGTCAGGACCTAGTTGCATTAGCAAAGCTGGGGGAAAGGAACAGAAGGAGAGACTTGCACAGTGCCCTCCTTTGCTATGCCTGGTTCTAATCAATACTTTCTCACTTATCACCACTAAAACTTATCATCGTAACATTTCAAATAAAAACAATCGTTGTGTTTTATTTGTTTGAACAGTGTCAAACACCTGTGTCTGTTTGTTGCAGGGTCCCTGGAGAGGTGTACTTGCAACAGCAAGGCATCAACTACAGCACCTGGGGCTTGTGGGAAAATGAGGTTGCTCTCCTGTGCTTGTCACTTGCATTCCTGTTCTTTGCCTACATCCAGCTGTTAAGAGTGAATCGCTGGAAGTAAACTGGGCAATTTCCAGTTATCATCCACCAGGGCAGCAGCCATGCAGAGTTCACTTTGTCCCCTCCTACCAGTATAGTCTTGATTTCGGATACCTCCTGATTTGTGCAGTTCTTCCCTTCAACCACCAGAAGGCTGTAAATACAAAGTTAATTTGTCCAAGACTGACAGATTGGAAAGTGTCGACATATGTGTAAAAACATTCATTAAATACAAATGTATTTTACCTTTTAATGTAGAAAATGGTCAGATACACTCATAACAATCCATGGCCCATACTAATCAGCTAACCTCACACAAAGTGTGGTGAACAGAATGCAAGATAGTTTTCTGCTAAAACATAGGACAAGCCACTAACCCATTAGTTAAAGAGAATTGTCTCTAGCTACCAATAATTATTCTTTCCTTTCCATCCTTACTACACAAATTCTTGATTATGCTTTGGTCATCATTTGCTATGACTACTCCAACTTCCACTTTTCTGGCCATCCCACATCTCAGCTCATCACTATCTATGCAAAATACCCCAAGCATCCTTATATCAATTTACCGCTTCAAAACTCTGTTCTGGCTGTGATGCTGGCAGACCAGGGGCCAGCAAACACCATGGTCCCCATACCTCAATTGAATACTGACAAATACATAGTTGAAATCAGTCTGGCTCACCTGTGTGTTTGTATTGTTAAAATAGGTATTAGAATTATAAGAATGACGTTAGACTTTATAGAATGCTTGTGAGTTGCTGCATGCATTAATCTCACTTAAAACATCTGTATCCCATATTGTACGGTAATATTTGAGCATTTGCACTGTAAGCCCCTGTAACTGCGTAAATCATGAAATAGGAGAGAGACATTAACTAGTGTGAAATGCTAGTCTCCAACAGAAGGTGTTATGCCCTGCCCAACAAGGAAGGCCCATCAGGGCCACCCAGAGGATTCAGGGGACCCGGTGCTTCGGTGGCGAGAGGACCCCCTGCCACAGGTCTTCAGGGCACTTCGGCAGCGGGTCCTGGAGTGGAAGGACCCCCCCGCCTCCGAATTGCCGCTGAAGACCCGGAGCGGAAGAAGCTCCAGGGGCCCCGGAGCAAGTGAAGGACCCCGCTCCAGGGGCCCCAAAAAACTCTCGTGCGGGTCCCTGCGGGGTCTGGGGCCTGGGGCAAATTGCCCCACTTGCCCCCCCCCCCGGGCGGCCCTGAGGCCCATCAACACCAGACAGATTGAGTAGAACGTTGAAGAGGACAAAAGACTTTGTTGTTTACTCTCCTTCCACCCATGAAGAAGAATCTTGCAAGTGAATTCCTCACATCAGCTAAATTTGCAGCTCGAAGCAGAAGGGGGAACAGGAATAAAAACCCCTAACAAGGAGGAACTGTATCTCATTGCTCCTTGGACTCTGGTGGCAAGATTTCTAGACATAAGCAAGGGATCCCCAGCTGCTAAGCCTGAGTTAGCCCTAAAGGACAAATAGAGCTTGCTTATTACAAAAGTGTCTATTATTTTTTGAAATTTAAGATTGGAACTCATTTGTCTGTATATATGTTTACCTGCTTTAACCTTGTAAATAACTCTTTAATTTCCTTTTCCTATATAATAAATCTGTGTATAGTTTATTATTGGATTGGCTACAAGCATTGTCTTTGGTGTGAGATGTAAGGTGCAAATGACCTGGGGTAAGTGACGGGTCCTTTGGGAGTGGAAGTAACCTAAATATTGCTGATTTGTGATAGAAGGGACCGTCGATCACAAAGGCAAGCTTGCCTAGGTGACAAGAAAGATTGGAGTACACAAGAGAGTTGTCTGTGACTGTTATACTGCCTGATGAGTTTATACTTAATAACTGGTTGGTGATATCTAAGCATGGAACTCACAGCTAATTTGGGGTTTGTGCACTAGCTCTTAATAGTCTGCCCTGAGGTTGGTACTCACGCTCTTGATTCCCACTGGTCAATCTGACATTGGCTTCCTCTCACTTTCCACAGTAAGTTCAAGATATATATCCTCATGTTCAATACCATGCCCCACCTACATCTCAGCTTTCACTTCCTTCTACTCCTTCATTGTTTTCTGCTTCCTGCTTTTGCTTAAGCCCCTCCAAAATGCCCCTTTTTATCCTTCACCAATACTCATCTCGATTCCTCATTTCAAGATGCCCCCTTCATTTACAATTTCTTCTCTCTCTTTATTCAAATCCTTAATTAAAAAACACCTTTCCCCTTAAACTTATCAAAGATGATCCATCAGAGAAAGACGTGTGCAATTCAGAATAAATATCAGGAAAACTTTAATGGCACTGAGATCTATAAAACTGTGAAATAATCAGAAATATTTAACACTGGTCTGGTCACAACTCTAGAAAATGTACTGTAGGGATGACCCCACTGACACAGAGTGGACTGGATGATCCAGTAGGAGTTTCCCCCTCTCTAATTCCTTTGATAGTAGTTTAAGATCAAGTTGGACATTTCTGGCACCAAGGACCCGTGAAGAAATATGGAGCTTTCTTTGTTAGATACCCCTGGTAAATGAGGAAAGCTAAAAAGAAATGAGTGGGAAAATGTGGGAAGAGGACAAAGAGAACAAGAGAAGTGAATGGAAAGGAAATAAAATAGGAATGGGAGAAGAAATAAGGAGAAAAAGGTGATGCTGGATTTTTGCCATGCCACTTAGAGTATCAAAAAACAATAAAAAGGTAGAGGGGCGGAGGAGGGTTCATGAAGGCAAAACAAAACACCAGAAAAAGATTTCTTGGCATAACACTTGGCTTTTATTTATTTGCAGAACCCAATTATATCTTTACCTTTTGCCTGTGAGTATGACAAGGGTTGGAAATACTACAGAAAAGGTGCTCAGAGAAAAAATGGATAGTTTTCCCCAGTCAAAAAAGGCTGAGATACTATGCAGACTGCTGACATCCAAATCTTCAAAATTCTCAAGAAAAAATGGATTCTGTTGCTGTTTAAATATCTTATTACTGCAGGTAGTTGAATTTAACACCATAATGTAGGCCCTACTCCTACAGCAGCATAAGAGAAGGTTACTCACCTGTGCAGTAACTGATGTTCTTTGAGATGGTTGTCCCTGTGGGTGCTCCACTTTTAGGTGTTTGAGCACCCTGCACTTCTAGTCAGAGATTTAAGGTAGCAGTGTCCTGGTTGGCCATGCACGTGCTGCAACCAGCTCGTGCTGCTCTGAGTGGGTATCGTGCACGTGCAGCCAACCGTTCCCCAGTTCCTTCTCTGCCGCAGAGGATCAAAGAGATACTTCGAAGCAGACGGGAGGAGGGGGGGATAGTGGAGCACCCACAGGGACAGCCATCTCGAAGAACATCAGTTACTGCACAGGTGAGTAACCGACTCTTCTTCTTTGAGGAATATCCCTGTGGGTGCTCCACTTTTAGGTGACTATGGAGCAGTACCCTTCAGTGGAAGGAGGGTCTTTGGAGATGTTTACTGAGTGGTGGATAACTCCAATTCCCCGAAATGAGCATCAGCAGCTGATTGCTTCTCTAAGGCATAATGTCTGGTGAAGGTGTGGGCTGATGCCCAGGTAGCTGTTTTACATATATCAATGATGGGTATATCTTTAAGAAAAGCTGTTGATGTGGATATAGCCCTGGTGGAGTGTGTGCGAAGACCAGAGTGGGGTTCTAGGTCATGTCCGTGGTAGCATAATCAGATGCACTCCGATATCCATTTTGAAAGTTGTTGTTTGGAAATGGTTAGTCCTTGAAATCATTCCGTTGTGGAAACGAACAGTTTGGTGGATTTTCTGAATGTCTTTGTTCTATCTATACAGAACGAGAGTGCTCTATGAACATCCAATGTGTGAAGAGATGCTTCCCTGCTGTCAGTGTGCGGCTTCGTGAAGAATACAGGTAAGTAGATGGGCTGGTTGAGATGGAAGGATGAAGCCACTTTAGGTATGAATTTTGGATGTGGGTGAAGGATTACCTTGTCCTTGAGGAATATGGTATAAGTGAAGTTACCACCAAGGCACCAAGCTCTCCAACCCATCATGCCAACGTAATTGCGACTAGGAAGGCAACTTTCATGGACAAGTGTAATAGTGAGCAGGTAACCAGGGGCTCAAAAGGTTTGCCCATGAGGGTACGGAGGACTAAGTTAAGGTCCTACATAGGGGTAGGGTCTCTGACCGTAGGGTAAGTATTCTGTATACCTTTGAGGAAGCATTTAGTGAGAGGATGCGCAAATATAGTGAGCCCATCTACTCTGGAATGGAAAGCTGTGATTGCAGATAAGTGTACCTGGAGTGAACTGATAGAAAGACATGATTTTTTTTAGGGTCAGCATATATTCAAGTACTGCGGGTAATGTAATCATTCAAGGGGAGAGTTGTTTGTCTTCGCACCATATGGAGAAACAACGCCACGTTTGAGTATATGTTTTTGTGTGATTAATTGTCTGCTGTCCATCAAAATAACCCAGATCTCTGTGGAAAAGCCTGCCGCCAGAGATGTCAGCCACAGATTAGCCATTCCTTGAGATGGAGGATCGGGATGTTGGGTGACGGAGACGACCTGAGTCCTGTGTGAGTAGGTGAGGTATGAGTGGGAGGGGCCACGGTGGTGCTGTGATCATCTGGTTGAGGTAGGGAAGCCAGGTTTGTCTGGGCCACGTTGGTGCGATCAGGATTATTCGGGATCTGTCCTGTTTTATCTTGTAAAGGATACAAGATATCAGAGGAATCGGGGGAAAACATTAGAGGTGCTTCCCATTTCATGAAGATAACAAGGTCTTTATCATGCTGGGCATGGTCAGTTGCTTATGAATGGAATGTCTGTGAGGAATGTGTACTGTACGGAGCCACGCCTGAAGATACCTCATAGGAAGTTGTGCATGTTTCACGACAAACGTGGTTTCTGACATATGTCCTAGAAGTTGGAGGCATAACTTGGCGGATGTCTCCGGGCTGTTTTATATGGTTGCTATGAGGTTCGTTAATGTCAGGAAGAATTGTTGGGGTAGACTTGCCAATGCCGTG